AAGGATGACAAAGGATTTCCGGCGCCAGCAGACCGAAGAATGCCTTGAGGAGCTGCGGTGATATCATACCGGTGTGTCCAGGAGCCGATATGTAGAAGGTCCATTTGTTGCTGAGTGGCGTAAGACATTCGGTGTCTTGAAAAAACTCAGTTAGCCTGAGAAGGCTGAAAGCAAAAAGGTCGGCGAACTGAGAAGAAGAGGTTGAAGAGAGCTGGGACCGACTACCTTGGATTGGTTGACACTGGAATAATATTACACCACAGGGTCGTGATGGGAATCCGGTAGGGTCAGATACAGCAAGGGGAAAAGAGAGCTCAATACCAGGCGAGATGTTTCTCAGTAAAGAGTCTGTATCGCGGAGAAGAGTCCTGTCAGAATGCTGTAGCTCCCTCCGCACGGAGGAAGGTGACCTTCTTATAGGAAGCATCGCATCGCTAGAGATAATGTTGAGGGGATGTTCAGATAAAAAGACAAAATACGGAAAGCTTCCCCTTCATCCTTTTTAGGTTAAACTCGAACAAAGCCTGGATGATACAGCACAGAATAGGTGCAACAGTGACATATCGAGGGCAATGCTGGCCCAGAACAAGGCAACAGCTCCAAGTGGGAACAGAACTATCCGTTGACGATACGGATAGCTTCCCTCTGGTGCAACTTTTCCAAACATGAATCGCCGTTTCACCTTGCTCACATTACCTTCTGGCCGGATGTATCGCAAGAAGCTACCTACTGGCCTGGCATTACCTATTTGGGGATGATCATAGTAATGGGTAATGGATTCTTGGAGCAAGCAGACGCGCCGATCATCATTCGCCAATTGATAATGATGAGCTCCAAGCTTCAGTACTGGCTTGGCCTGGTCATACTTACCTTAGACCCCTATATAATCTCAAAGCCGGCGAGCAGCAACAAGTCGTTCAGTTGTCCATACCCCTCACTGCGCCTCTCCTGCTGAGATTATGCTAGTTTTTCTTTTTCTCGTCAGCTCACCTTCTGGAAGCATGAAACGGTCTTCCACCTTCTCGGATCCATGACTCGCTGTGTGCTTGACCGCTGGTCCCTGGCAGGATCTGTCAGCCTTGCGCTCGCCGAGTGCTTAGGCAGCCAACGATCAGGCCTGAATGATCTGGTTGACTCGTAAATTAGACATGAGGGTTAAACACAATCAGCTCGCTTGCAGAGGCAAATTCCATACCTTGGCCCAGGTATAGACTACTTCTGGTACTGGTCACGTTGCCTGTTGATTTCACAAAGATAGTGTTGATGTTAGTCAACGACACGGTGACAAGTTTGCTGAGATGTAGTAATACAATAATGGTAAGGTACCTAGTTGGAACATCAACGCCGTTGCTGTTGCTTTCTATTGGCTTTCTTGCCGCATACAATCTAAAGTATGTGTACGTAATAGGTTGCACGTTCTCCAGGGAGTTTAAGCCACTATTGTGAGGGTACCTGGATATATTTCTTGTGTGACACATTCACAAGTCTACCTATCTACCTAAAAAAGCCAACGCAGGAGGATGACATAGCAAAAACTGAAATCCGAGTACTGAGACACTCACCGGTCAACTAGAGGAAATGAGAGCAAGATTTTCTAAATCATATGATGGCTTGATGCAGTGTACGCTGATGGGGTTGGTGTGAACATCAGTGGTAGTGGTACTCCGTACCTGAATTAGATATATCGAGCAACCCGAATTCAAGTTGCTACCAACTATAGCATGATAATATTTGTTCTTCTCGATCAAGCTCTCTTTTTAGTAGACAGTTCTCTACGGCTGATCCGACCCTGGTCCAACCCACCATATAGTTACAACGAAGTGGTTTCTCAGCCTTGTATTAGATCAAATGTGAGAGAAGAGTGAAGACGCCGAGCCGAGCAGCAACCATCCAAGAATCGCGCCATATACATGCAGTTGACCCTTCTAGTCAATAATAATAACACCAGTAAAAAAGTGGGGTCAGATATAGTACAAGTTTTACGCTCAAAGACAATCTTGTCTGCGCTCCAAAGTAGAGAGGACAACCTGGGGTAATTTATGAAGTCGTTCCGAAGACGCGCAGAATCACCTCGTACCTAAAGCGATGATGTTAGAAGCTGATCCTATATGCAAGCAGGGACAAAAGATACTCACATTCCGAACATAATGGCGGCTGACGGAACCACACGCAGCAAATGCGGTGTGAGACCGCCATACAATCCGAGCATACCCTCCTCCTTCCACACAGTCTTAAAGCACTGCACAAGACCGGTGTATTTCATCTGAACCTTGCCATCCCCCACAGATACAGTGGGGGCTTGCCTCAGCCTCGTTCGGACAACTTCGTGGGGGTACGTGGCGGCCGCAGCAATCAGTTTCGCCATGCCCGCGGAGCAGATTCGACCACCCCACAACTCCACGTCGTCCCAGATATTGTAGAGGTGATTGGGATCAGCACGCTTGGCTGCTTCCCTGCGCGCTAAATACATCTTCATTTGTTCGTACATCACCCACTGTAGAGTTGACTCGGTCACACCGAGGTATGATGCGGAAAGTCCCTTGTACAGGCCTCGAATACCCTCGTGGCGCACCGTCTGTTTGATACAATCCCAGCTGTTCTTATACTGCCGGCCCTTGCCATTCTCGGCGTTAGACTTGTCTAGTTGTAAGCGTGTCTTCACCAGCCAGATTGGGTTGGTGGCCGTTCCTGTGGCAATTCCTGCTACGGCGGCCGCCGTCAGATGGATTCCGACGGGCGTCTCCTTGGAATCGTGGTAATGAAAGTAGTCGCTAAGTATCCGCTTTCCGTTTCCATATACGTAGAAGTTAATGGCACGCGCCGGTACAACCCCAATGAGATTGGGTCCAAGGCCCTTAAACAGTGCGCGCCAGCCCTCATGGACATGTATCGAGCGCAAGATCTGGAAGGTCTCGCTAAAATGCATCATAGCGATCCGTGGAAGCGAAGCAAGTGAGTTAGATGGTGGCAATGGGTGAGCGGCACGGAGAGACTTGAGCTGGGCTTGGTAGAAGTCGGACTGTAACCGGGTTTTCAGGACATCAAGAGGAGAGGTAAGAGTCGCGGCGGTCATTCCACCAATTCTGTGGATCTATCGCATTAGCGTCGAGATCATCTCAACCACCATAAACTATAATTGTTTCTACTTACCCGCCGGCGACAAAATGGGCGAAAGGCTTCGCTTGGCTCTTTTTGTCGACATCTTGAGTGAACGGTTGCGTCCCTTGCGGTATAATTTCCCCTGTCTCCCTTGACTGAAGCATGAGATCTTTACCAGGAGTCGCTGCAGACTCTCTTGCTTCCAGATGCGCCTGCGCAGAGCTGGAGTGAGAAGTGGCTGAAAGAGGCATCAACAAGGCCTGGGGTATTATCGGGACGGAGAATACGGCAAAGATCGGTCTGACACGGAAAGCAGTAGCATTTAGGCAGTGATAGCCATGAAGAGGCAATATTCTCGGAAGTAATGTACGAAATGATTCTGATAACTCCAAATCGAATTAAATAGGGAGGCGTAACTGGCGACGAGGATGATACCGTTCGAGTTCAATTTTTTTTTTGGCGACAGCTTATTTTTGCCTGGGCGGAAACTCTGGCGGATCTCTCTGCCACTGCCGATTGGCAATCTCTTCCGTCGCCGCTTTAACGGCTAATGCAGGAACAACTACTGGATTATTTTATTCACGAAGAATATGAGGTCTCATACCGTCATTCTTTAGCTACTCCGATGTATGTACCTAAGCCCTAGTAGTTCCATACATATTTCAACTCTGATTCAGCGCTCGGCGGTGCTGGTAGAGGCGCCGCTTCAGGTCGATGCTACCTCGTTGCAGTGGGCATGACAATTCCTTACGCCTATTGAATGGAGCATCTCTAGTAAAGTGACACGATCTTGCGAAATTTTTACCCAAGCAATTGATTGAGTGTTACTCCTAGAAACAGCAACATCGCAGGAGTTATCGGGCGCTAAGTTGTCTGGCAGATTGACCAGTAGGTGCCTATCAGAAACCCGTTCAAGCCAGAATATCCAAATCGTACTGATTCTTCAAAGGGGGAATCGAAAGGTTTGTCTTTTTTTCTTTCATTGAGGGGAATCTATGCACAGGCTTGAGATGTGCCAGAACATCTGAGAACCCTAATTTTTATCGCTTCGTCTCAATGCAAAGTCCACCCATAGACGGAAAAACCCAGAAACACCAAACAACCGCATCGACCATATCCATTCGTTTAGATGTGGGTGTCGTAAGGGATGGGGGTGATGGTCTCAGCGGCAACACCCTCGACAACGTGACCCTCACGGGGCATGGCAGGCTGTCTCTTCAGGTGGAGGTGGATGCCCTGCTCCTTGGCCTGGCGCTTCTTGGCGGCGTTCTCCTTGACACGCTTGATGAAGTCCTCACGGGAACGGGAGTGCTTGACGTGCTCGATGCGAACGTTGATGCGCTTCTCCATGTAGCGGTTGCCGACAACCTTGTAGATGATGACACCGACGGAAGACTTGGTCACGTTGTAGACGACACCGGTCTTACCGTTGTAGACCTTGTAGGGCATACTGTTGCAAAATTTCAGCAAGCAAATCCTCAAATTTTCCACCACAATCACGCATAATCCGCGCCTTCCGGACTCCTCGTAATTGCAGAGGGCGAAAATTGTACTGACCCCTTCTGAACGGCACCGTTGACCTTGATATCCACAATGTCGCCAACCCTATAAAACAACAATCAGATCCTGCTCGCACATCTCTCCCATTATCATGTTCGAATTTCTGGTTCGTACCGGTAGGTCTTCAGGTAGGTCGACAGACGGATCATGCCGTTCTCCTTAAAGCCGCGGCTGAAGGCATACTACAACCATCGTCAGCGCTCCGTTTCAGTCCGCCAAAAAAAGCGTCGATATGAATCCATCGCATGAACGTACGCGAGTGCCCGATCTCAAACCGTGGGAGTGACCCATTTCTGCGGTGTAGGTGGTGTTGGTGTTGAAAAATTGTCGACAACGAAGAAATGCCTCCTTCTGCCGTACTTGGTGATGGTGTCAAACGTCCTCGGGTGCTTGGTGCGCCGCCAGGGCTAGCCCTAGCCCTAACCTCAACACGGTTAGACTCCACTTTTCTCCTCGCTTGTTTCCTCCCCAAAGAGCATCCTCAACTGCTGAACTTTGCGATCTTCGTGAAGTTTGGTGTGCTCGACAACATCACGACAACGCGCAATCAGCAGCCATGGCCCCCGTCCCGTGAGTATATGCCTCGCAATGAGTGCGGAATGAAGTCACATCATTCTAATTACCGATTCTGCATTACAGTCGCGTTTACTCCAAGACCTACAAGGTCCCTCGTCGTCGTAAGTATTTCTAATATATCCTACAAAAATGGAAAATCCATCAAAGTCCGAATAAACGCTAATTGATGTTCAGCTTTCGAGTCGGCTCGTCTGTTAGTACTCTCCGGCCACTGATCAGAAGCGTGCTTCTGTTTAAGTCGTGTGTTCCATGCCTAACCTTTGGTCGATAGTGACTCGGAACTGAAGATTGTCGGCGAGTACGGCCTGCGCAACAAGCGTGAGGTGTGGCGTGTCCAGCTCACTCTGTCCAAGATCCGTCGTGCTGCTCGGTATGCGTTTTGTCAGCCCTGCGACAATTGAGAGCAGTGACTAACATATTCCGATCTAGTGAGCTTCTCACCCTCGACGAGAAGGACCCCAAGCGTCTTTTCGAAGGTAACGCTTTGATTCGTCGTCTGGTCCGCATTGGTGTGCTCGATGAGTCCCGCATGAAGCTCGATTACGTCCTGGCCCTCCGTGTCGAGGACTTCCTTGAGCGTCGTCTGCAGACCTGTGTCTACAAGCTCGGTCTTGCCAAGTCCATCCACCACGCTCGTGTCCTGATCAAGCAGCGTCACATCCGGTATGGCCCACCATGCGATAGCGCTAAGGAGACGATACTAACCTATTTTAACCAACAGTGTCGGCAAGCAGATCGTCAACGTGCCTTCCTACATGGTTCGCCTTGACTCCCAGAAGCACATTGACTTCGCTCTCACCTCCCCCTACGGTGGTGGCCGCCCTGGCCGTGTCCAGCGCAAGAAGGCCGCTGCCGCTGCTGGCGGTGACGGTGAGGAGGCTGAGGAGGACGAGGAGTAAATGTGCCTTAACTAAAAATCAGGAGTACGGACGGGTCTCGTTTTGGAAATCAAAATCATGAGGGGTTCCATGGTGTCTGCAGCATAGCGTATCATGTTGTATGATCATGCACGTCAATGAATTAGATAGCCTAACGGCTTCATTTCGAGACTCAAGTTGTATCATTGTGCTGTAAATTTAGAATCCCACGCCTTTCGCCTATATATACACCCGAATTATGAACCCGCGACGCTGCCATATACAAATCCAGTCACTAATCATCCGGCCTTTAGTCTCATCCCTCAACACCCACCAAACTGTTCAGTGTTTCCTCTGCGCTCCTGTACCACCTGCCCAACTCTTCGAGGCCGTCACTCTTGCCTTCCTGTTTCATTCTCTGTGCCTCCCGTGCTTGTGCGGTTGCTTCGCTCCTGCGTCTTTCTAGTACACTCAATTCTCTTTCCAATGCTTCGGCTTCTCTTGTCTTGCGTGGCAGAGCATTCTGTACTGCGGCAAGTTGCCGATTTAATGCTGCAAGTTCCGCCTCACGCTCGGCCAATAGAGACAGCGTCGCTGGCAGTGGAAGGTTCTGGGAAGATGACGCGCCCATCGTGGCGACCTGTTTCGCACGTAGTCCGGCAATCGTGGATTCAAGGTTCTCTATAGATTCGGGGAGTGTTGAAAGTTGTGTCATCTGTAGTTGCACTTTTTTGTATCCTGTCGAAATAATACTTAGCGCCGCTTTCGTGCCATATGGGCAAAAGCAACTCACGACTCGCCAGATCCCGACCCATCTTCTCCATATCTTCAATCATGATCCTGACTTCTTCCTTGCGCGACTTGAGCTCAGATTTCACCTCTGCCAACTGCGCTTCCAACTCCACGTTTTCATTGTGTCCGACGACCAAGGGAGGATCGCCCACGATTGCTCGTAGGAACTTTTCTTTTGTTACTTGCTCAACATAGGAAAAGCGCAATTTCGAAAAGAGTTCCTTTTCATACAAGTCAGAGAATATATAATAAGAATATAGCATATGCAGAGGTGAAGTCCACTTGTCCGTACCTTGTAGTGTGTCAAATCTGCTTCCAGGGAAGCAGGTGTGGGGTTATCGATGGCCGAAACGTCAGAGGTACGCTTGGACGGCGATGGATTGGATTTTTCAGCATCTGAAGAAGAGATAGGTTCGCTTATGCGAATGATGGCAAGACGAGTCTTCAGGTCGCCATTCTCTTCCTCCAATTGTCGGAGCTGTTCAAGGGTTCCAGCGGGGCTCTGATCGGTCATTCTTCAAGCGGTCTCTTCTCAATAAGGTACCTTTTGGCAGCAGTATGCGTGGATCCTTTGTTGAAGCCCTGAGTTGGATTATTAAAGTCTCCTTTTGCCTGAATACTAGGTATCTTCAGAACGGATACGCTTGACTGCGCGTTGGCAGGTAGATAACGGAAAAGTAAACAAAAGCTTATCGGGCAATCCTGAGGGACACCGCTTTTGATTGCCATCTAGCGCGGCTTCCCCAGCCAGTAGTGAAGTCACTGACTGCCCTTACTTTATTTGACACTGGCCATGAGCGGATTAGACAATCCATTTATATTTCCTCAATTTAATTGGTTTCTGTGTCTTTTCTCGTATGAATGATGTCGCGAAGACTGTCTGCTAGTTAAAACCTTGAATTCTGAAGGAGCACCTCCATTGCCCACTTGGGCGCGATCGCCGCTTTCCTTCCTTCGCCCGCAATCATGCCTTCAAACACTGGAGAAACGAACGACGAACTGAGCAACGACTATGTTGCACAAGTATTAGCCAAGGAGGCCCGTGACAGCTCGATGAAATATTCGGCTCAAGGATTGGGTGCTTATTTGCCTAGAAGGTACGATCTTCTGATGTGGAGTTCCACTATAATCGGCGTGGTGTTGATGTATATCGCCTCGCAGACCTACAGGTGCAGCTCCTAAACCGAATACGAGATTTCTACGCAATATCATAAAGGAAACCGACAGTCATAACGCTGCATTGAAGCGAAAGGAAGAAAAGGAAGCCAGGGAACGAATGCGACAACTACGTTCGTCTTCCTCTGCGAATGATACCAAAGAACGCGACCGTCATCGATACCGTCGCCCGTCAGACAACTTGGAGTCGCGGCGGGACACAAGAGAAAGTCGGGAATCAAGGTATCGCCCTCATAGAAGAAGCCACAGGAGTCGTTCGGCGTCCTCGGAGAGAGATCGGTCCCGCAGACACCGACGAACCCACCGATCTGATGACACTGGTGGAAAGCGTCATCGATCTTCAAGGAAAGAACATCGTCGCCGCTCGTACTCACGTAGCCGCTCTCCACGAGATGATAATGCCTCGAATGCTCGCGATCGCTACAGACGACGTCGTCGACGCACAGTCTCATTGTCCCCCTCTCGCAGCCCATCACCAGACAGACACAGGAATCGGAAAGGTAGAGACGATACAAGATACGACACTCGCCGCAGTTCACTCGATGATCGCGCGACACATGAACACACCACGGCACACGAGAGAGAAAGAACACCGCCTCCTCCGAGAAGAGAGTCTGGGTTTGAGTCTGATCCGCTCGAGGATTTGGTGGGACCACTACCCCCTAAGCATGGCGTCGACAGCGATTCGGGGCCAATTCGCTCTCGCGGCCGGGGCGCTTATAAAGCCAACATGAGCAATATCGATGCTCACTTTGCTCCCGACTACGATCCATCACTGGATATCCACATGGAAGATGACGATCAAGATCAGCGCAAAGGACCCTCCCGACGTCCTGTTGCAGGTCTTACAACAGAGGAAGATGACTGGGAGCTCGCCCTCGAAGCGCTCCGCGACCGTGCTCGTTGGAAGCAAAAGGGAGCGGACCGACTACGAGAAGCGGGCTTCAACGATGCCGTCGTTGATCGATGGAAGAGCACTTCTAGTAAAACAGCCACAGGCACTGGTGATGACGAAGGCAGACTTGAAGACGTGAAGTGGTCAAAGAAAGGCGAGGATCGTGAATGGGACCGGGGAAAGTTTGTTAATGATGAGGGGCATATCGATGTCAAGGCTTTGTGGTAGCATTGGTTACAGGGAAAGGGTTCTATTCAGCAACCGGAGTATGGGGGTTCGAATATTTCTGTATGGGTATGGCTTGGGGGGAATAGCATACATGCAAGCTGGGCGTTATGAACAAGTTAGCTTCTTGTGTATGATTATGAACATGAATTTAAGCAGTGACTGGTTCGTCTCCTTTACTTGGGACTGTAGTTGTGATAGTGACCTGTTGGAATATAACACTATTACAATCAGCAAGTTGAGGGTATACGAGCTCATAATGACAAACCTAATACCATATTATGAGCCTGACCATATCTGAGCCGCAGATATTTAGTCTATTAAAATGTAAAAGAAAATCAGTGTAAGATCTAAAATTATTTTGTCCAGCTGAGTGGTAAGATAAGTGTTCATTCCGCGGATTTGTCAGGGTGCGGAATTACAGACAAACAGAGGGACTGCTTTCTGCTTACCAGGGATATTGCACCATATTTCTCAATCATGGCATTTTGAATTTCTAAGAATTAGTCAATCAGAATTGTCAATCATCACATGCCTGTCATATTCCTGGTATTTGCATGGTCAAGTGTGGAACCTTCACCTCTATGAGATATATAACCACCTCTGACCTGTCTTTTTTTGTTTCGACACCAGATCTTGGCCAAACTCGCGCAAACTCTTGAACAAATAAGACATAGACTATTCACACATATTTACTCATTTCAATATCTTTATCATCTTGACAAGAAATGACGGACCAATTTGCTTTCTCATACCCGTCTCCACTTGAGGGCTACGAGAACCTCGAACCACTGACAGAGTGAGTCTTTGGTCAAGTCCAAGTCAAATATCGCATAAGGCAAGAGGCCGAGAAACTAACGAGACTCTGATAGTGAAAAGACAGAGGATGGAAAGTCCCTCAAGAATCCCCAGCATGGAGTCTTAAGTAAAGCATACGAAGAATTCCCCGACCCTCTCGCTAAAGATCCCCGTGGGGGTTTTGATATCCATATCTATCACTTCCAAGTTAGAAATCCTTCAAAATATTGGTGAATTCTTCAGCCATAACTGATCTTCCCCAATTAGAATAACCCTGATCAAGTCGCATACGCTAGAGCTCTACATGAAAGGGTCAGACGCGAATGTAAGGGCGCTTTTCCCCTGGTGTCGAGCTTTTTGCGAAAATCTGGTTATCTTCAAGTCAAAGTACGGAAATAACTGACAGTATGCAGTCCCCGAGCTTCGCATTTATTCCTTCTTCGACAGGCCAATTGGGCCTCATCCGGTCGCCATGTTCGAAGTCAATGTCTTCACGCCTGCCCAGTTCGGTGCGTTTGTACCTTGGCTAGTTATCAATAGGGGTCCGTTGAGTGCCTTGATACACCCAAACACGATCGATTCAGAGGAAGAACGGAATCATACGCAACGTGCTACATGGCTTGGAGAGAGGATTCCGTTAGATTTGAGAGTATTCAAGCTGATGAGAAGGGCGGAGAAGAAGAAAGAGCTGGAAGCTGCGCAGGACGCTCAAAAGCTATAAATCAATACCCTCATGCTGATCTGTGAATATGGGATCAATTTAGTGAACTGGTGACTCAGAAGGCTGATTTCACGGACAGGACACCATAATTCTGTGAACCTGTCGTAAAACTGTCTGCAGGACTATTTACTTATGTTAATACCGTAAAGCAAAGTCTCTATAGTCAACCACCGTTAAATATCTCCTGGGTTGAATCGAAGAGCAACCCGAATTAGAAGGCGCCGAAATGATGGAGTGAAACCCTGTAATACGACCCTTACCTTTTTAAGCACAGATGGTCATCTGGTTAGTTTATCTGATGACTTGAGTGGCGACGACGGTAACGACTGAGTCAAGTATCTCAATCAATCAGATGTCATTGACCAACAATATCACAGGATCCTTCACAATGTAACCCGACGTCAACGTGACTGGACGATCACGATCAACCCGATATTGATTGGAATTCTTGACTGCATCATCCGCACCATGCTTATTGTTCGCCGTGGAATGACCCCTCAGAACCACCTTGATCTAAGCCATGTACGGACGAACTGTAGCTGCAGCTCAGATCGTCTGGCCTTCACACGAGGCTGATTGGATGGTTCCTGGTTGCTCTTATGGCCTGTCAGCTGCTGCAGAATTTGACTGTAGCTTCAACTGCAGTGTGAAATAGTATGTGCTGTAAATTCGAGAGGTGGCCAGGACGGCGAATTCCTGGGGACTGATGATCATTCAGCCCTGACTTCTTCGGCACCCATTTTAACTTATAAATTGCCTGCCGTCTCTAAAAGGATTTTGAACCGATAACTGAGTATTACGCACAACGTAGACTTAGATCGTCGATTGCTTCTGTCTTACCAATATGCGGGCTCCATGGACGTTTGTTTTTGCGTGGAATATGCTACAGCCAGCCGTCGCGACCGCAGATACTTTTACGAAAGATATCGCGGCAACAAACATACCGAGCTTCGTGTTGGAATATGGTGCGTGTGTCTGCAGCAATCGAACATGATTTTCGGCCTCTGACAATGGCGTAGCGCCTCTTGTATGGCTGTATAGCCAAGAAGCGTACATGCCATTCGACATGGGACAGCAACTTGTACATACTACGCCAATGGTTGACCATAAACCAATCCAAGGGGTCCAGTCACCCTTGACTCTTGATAACCTCGACAGTTTGAACAGTCTGGGCAACACAAGCGTTTACTTGACATCCAAGGAAGGTATCAACGCTTCTCCGCAGCCAGCGTGGTTCAATGGCATCGCTCCAGATCAACAGGGTAAGACGAACGGTGCAGTCTCCTCAACGATTATTATTCGTGATCACAACAATGGGACGGTGGATGCCTTTTATTTTTACTTCTATGCGTAAGTCACGCCGATATGTTCGGTGAGGATCGTGGCAGACTCATGAATCGAAAGGTATAACCAAGGAAACACTGTCCTCGGTATGGAATTCGGTGATCACGTCGGGGACTGGTATGTMGAGTCAAAAGATCGTCAGCATTTGCGCACAAACTCATGCATCTAGGGAGCACAATATGATCCGATTTTCGAATGGGAGCCCCCAAGCGATTTGGTATAGTCAGCATGCTGGAGGACAAGCCTTCACGTACGACGCGACTGAGAAACAAGGCAAGCGGCCATATGCATACTCGGCAAAAGGCACGCACGCTGTTTACGTTATGGCGGGGTGAGTAGACCGACGCATAACCTTGATGATGACGGCGCGAGCTAAGGAGTGTGAACCCTGCGTAGCGATCACGACCATAMAATTCCTCATCTCAATCTCCCCGCCGGATTTGTTGTTGACCATACTGACCGCGGGTTGTTGTGGGATCCCATACTGAGCGCCTATGCGTATAGCTATGATGCCGACAGCGGAACCTTTCGGCCTTATGACCCCAGCTACCCTGTTAACTGGTTGAACTTCAACGGCCAGTGGGGAGATGATGCATTGCCGGGTGGGCCTGAGCTATTTGGTCAGAAGAAGTACAGCGAGGGACCAAATGGACCGAAATTCAAGAAGCTTGTTCGTGACCAAGTGTGTCCGGACAACCCATGCATAGTTCTCCCATTTCGAGTGTGGAGAACAGCATCTGCAGAGCAAGAGTGATCGGTAATGGAAGGGAAAGCGGGATCTAAGGCTTGATAACTGTGGAGACAAAGAGTTGAAGCTTTCACGGCCCATTATTAGGGCGCGGTGGAGGCTGTCGATGGCCAAGATCGTGATTGCATAAGCCTTAAGACATTCACCTCACTTACGTCCTAGACTACACACTAGAATGGGGCACTATGTAGACAAAACATGTGGAATCAGGAAGGGTGCGCATGCTTTGCTTACAAGGATTATGACTGAATCATTTCCGGAGCAGGTAGCTTGCGCTTGAATATTTGATTGCTAGGTACGATCGCTTGACACCAGGGACACTCAGGGAATCTGGAACTCAATGCGGCTGAAGTGGAATTGCGCCAATCCTGGGAATGTGTGACTTTCACAGTCCAATGGACGTGGTACTTTGAGTATTCCTCATCGCTTTGGAAGAGATCTAGATCTCAGTTGCTTCGTGGTTTTTGTGGTCAATGGTAATATTAGCATGATTAGGGTATGATCCGAAGGGCGTCAGGAATAGTGAGCATCATTGTCCATGCTCGTAAATGAATTGCCATCACCGCTTGGTCATACACGAGGCCTTAAGGCCTAAGGCCGTACGAAGAAACTTTCGCTGTTCCAGCCGGATGTCGGTCAGAATCAAACACTCGAGCAGAGTGGGGGTTTGGGGTTCCAGGACAGATCATGATAATCTTCCTCTCAGAGACTAGAGAGGTAGAGATGCCAGCACCACGTGATCTCATATCTCCCAATTGTTCTGTTCTGGATTGCGTGGTTTCTTGGGCGAGCTAAACCTGAAAAGGCAATGACCCCTGACTAGTAGGGACGGAGTAATAAAGCACGTAAAAATCAGAGCCATAGTCTAGATAATCAACAATGTTCCCCATCTGATGGATCAAACTGCATGAACGTTGGTGATGTGGGTGCACCAAGGAGGGATTAAGTATATACTCACTTCTGCATACTTCTGATCCATGGAGCCTTTAAGAGAACAACCTGAAAACAATAATCGTCTTCAGGTGTCATTTCATGCTAGACTGCTGTGGCCCCTGAATGTTCTCAGATGCCTTTGTGCTGGTGAATGCTGAGTATTTAGCTAGCCGCGAATGAAATTGCTCAGTCAATGTGCCCCTCAGTAGCACCTAGGCTAAAGCTCCAGCAGTTCAGCCACTAAGACCGAAGACGGGGCAACCACGAGTCCACGACCAGTAACGGAACCTAATTCTTAGCCAGTAGGTTCGTCTGAGTGGGGAGCGCTCGAAAGTCGAGCCCCTGGCGAGATTAATATTTGCTACCTAGGTATCTGCTGCCCCTGAATCTGGTCGAGCTCCAAAGTTCCTCAATGACATTAGCTGCTTGGAAAAGGGAGAAAAGTGAAGAAGAACAGTAAGACGCGCCTGGACAACCTAGGAGCCAGATTAGAGGAAGATTAAAGACTTAGATGTAGTAAGGTAACGTTGGCAAGCTTTGTAATGCCTGTAAAGCAAAACCCGGAGCTCTGAACTGGACAAAAAAGAACGGATAAGTAACTGCCTAGGCGCCTTTTTGGGAGAAGAGACTGTTATCGCGGTCTGTTCGTTTGGGCTGATCATCGTAAGTCTGGGGCGCCGTCGACCTGGTCCATCTCAATTCATTCTTGTCCTGTAAACCTCCTTTCTCTTTTCTATCCTTCCAACTCTCCTTCTTTCTCTTGGATCTTTTCTTTACTATCCAAGCGCCGCATCAGTCGGACGCGTGAGCAGGCATCATCCGCTTCGTTTTGACCTCTAGGAAGGTACACAAAAAGGAAGAAAAATTTTTTTAAAAAAAAAGAAAATCAAATCAAAGGAGGAAGCTTCATCAACAGAATTCGAAGTCTCTTGTCAAAACTTACAATCGCTCTTTTCTCCATATTTTCCCTCCTCCAGCAGAGACTTGGAGCTGGTTCCGACAAAACACTTGCTGGGCTGGTGAACGTTATTTAAAATCGGACCCTCCTGATCCCTACTCAGTTGGGTTTCTTATCATCATACATTCGTTTCTCGAAGTCGTGTATCCTGGCATTCAGAAAAGTCCGACCAGCGCATCCTGTCTCTGATCTGCTACAGCTTTCAGAGACGTCATTCCACCCGCGTGTATTCCGTATTGTTTGCGACAACTTTGCTGCACCCGCAAGAGACGTCGACGGGAACGTGCCCATATCAATTTCCCACGTGGAGGAATACGCACTGGTACGCTAATTACCGAGTTAATTGGCATCAAATTGATACAAGGTCAGTGACGTCGGTCTGAAATAGGAGTAAAAATGTTCGATAATTCAAAGGATGAACCAACAACTTCCTATCGTGTAATAAAGCGCAATTCGGATGATTGCTCTGGCTGACTTGCATACAGCATCTACTCTGCAGGCGCCTCCGCAGTTTTAACAATTTCAAAATTACATCAGGGACAAACCGCTGTCATTCTGAAGTAACATAAAGAAGGTTGGTGAAACGTCCCACTATTGGTGAGAAGTTCTATATCTGAGACACTCCTCATTCACAGTTTCCCCACTTTTCAACTGAACCATAGCCTGTCAGTGATCATTAGGAAGAGGGCCTGTCGGATTAACACCAATAATAATGGCAGCCGCGTCGAGACCCCGGACTCCTGGGCAGACTCAGCCTTCCTCAGAAACACTTCCTCCCATCACAGAGAACGGCAACGGTCATCTCAAGGATCAACGTCGTGCATCATCTCTAGGGTTTCTTCGTCGCGCAAAGTCAACTGAACCGCTGAGTGAAAGAAAAACGTCCGGAAGCAGAAGCAAAAAAAGAACGCAGGCGCAGGAGGAGGAGCTTCGCCGTCAGCGCGAGTCTATGCCGCAAGTCCCTCCTCGTCTGCCCGACCTTGCACCGACGCCAGTCATCGAGACTTTCGGGGGCGACGGACAGCACGACAGTGTTCCCATTCCGTCAAAAGAAACAATTGCTTCTCATCACAACCTTGCCATTCGCAGCAATATGAGTACCTCTGCAGAGGCAGCTGATCCTTACGCGCGTACGGAGAGTATGACCCATCGTGGACGTTACAGCTATGCGAGCAGTCTTGTCAGTACGGTCAACAACCCGCGCAGGATGCGGAGGCGCAAGGATCCGACACCCTACAAGTGAGTAGCAACATCGCGTGGAAAGTGGATGCGGAAATATGTGCTCACATTTTCACTAGTGTCCTTGTTATCGGTGCTCGCAACTCGGGCAAGACCTCATTCTTGAATTTTCTCAGGAAATCTTTAACTATGCCGCCACACAAGCATCCCATTCGATCTCAAGAAGAAGTCGAAGCATATGAGCGCCACTCACCTGCAAACGAAGGCTTCACCTCTCACTACCTTGAAACCGAGATCGACGGCGAGCGTGTGGGTCTGACCCTGTGGGACTCCCAGGGACTTGAAAAGAATATCGTGGACATTCAGCTGCGCGGTGTTACCGGATTCCTGGAGAGCAAATTCGAAGAGACCTTGCGCGAGGAAACGAAAGTGATTCGGTCCCCCGGCTTCCGGGATACACATATTCATTGCACTTTCTTGCTTCTCGACCCTGTGCGTCTGGATGAGAACATCGCTGCCGCTGAACGCGCTTCCCAGGGAACTTCCAAAGCCACCGATACGCCCGTGATTGGAGTTTTGGATGAATTCCTCGATATTCAAGTTCTACGAACTGTCTTGGGGAAGACCACTGTTGTTCCTGTCATCAGCAAGGCCGATACAATCACTACAGCGCACATGAGCTATCTGAAGAAGGCTGTTTGGCAGAGCTTAAAGAAGGCGAACATTGACCCTCTCGAAATTCTGACTCTGGAGGACCAGGACGAATATACGTCTTCAGAAAGCGCCGACGAGGATGAAGCGGGAACTGACGCGGACAGCAACGCGGATGAGGAGCACAAGGCGGAATCGGACCCTGTCGATAACGGCAACGCCGAGGTCTCAACTCCAAGCTCACCGTCCCAGCGAAGCGAAGGGACAGCTCAGTCTTCAGGATCTCAAGCCGCGTCTCAACATCTTCCGTTATCAATTCTATCCCCAGACCCTCACTCACTCGAAGCTGGGGACGAGCCAGTTGGTCGCAAATTTCCCTGGGGTTTCGCTAACCCGTACGATCCCACACACTGCGATTTTGTGAAGCTCAAGGACTCTGTTTTCAGCGATTGGCGCTCTGAACTCCGCGAAGCCAGCCGTGTTGTTTGGTATGAGCGATGGAGGACCAGCCGTCTGAACCGCAACGGTATCTCCGCCTCGCCGATGCAAAAGACGTACAGTGGGCGAATGGGTCCTCCCAGTGAGGGCCGCCGAACACGGTAGGAAATTGGAGTTTGCAGTTCTGCTTCGTGCCTTTGAATAGTCATTCAATTCCTCGCCTCGTTGGGAAACAACCTGAGGTTTCGGCACACACATCGAACCGCTTACTTGCATCCTTTGGTGGTTTGAAGTGTGATAAGCTATCCAGAGTTCATTCGACTTGCAATTTTCTTTCTTGGCAATTGTATTCCTTTGTTTCTCTTTCTGTTCTTTACAGGTTTTCGACAATTGCCAATGGTCGGGACACCCTTGTGTGATGTCTCCCTCGCACACTGAACTGGTTGAGCCTGGCAGATGGAGCGATTTATTCGTCTCCGTCTCAGAATCACTCGTTCAGAGACCCAAAATCGGGATGAGCAGCTTTGCAGTAGCTCATCTCGATACAAAACAACACTGCCGATTACTTTCTCCTGCTCTACCATTTGCGGCCAATTTCTACCTCCTTTATACCACTTGCGTGTTTTCTGTGATATCACTTTTGATGACCTGGTACCTTGTGATTCCGAATACGAGCGGTGTACCGAATACCACGAGCATATGGCGCCATCATGCTTGTTTCTTTTCTTTCCAGATCTGGTTGTTAATCCTCCCAGACGGTGTATTTCCGATTCCCCTTTGAATCAGAACTAGTTTCTCTTCTCCACACCATTTTTCTTTTCTGAAAAATGACATTCATAACGTTTGGCTAGCTGATCTGTTATTCTTTGTCTCCCTTCTATAGACTCACGCTGCTTGCCCATTCTCAGTAGGGGGCCTTCTTGGCTCCGTCTTCGGATGAAGTGTGATATTCATCAACTTGGTATTCTCCGGATTCAGGATGAGATATTAGTACTAATACGGAGTACTTCACACTACCGACGGTTCTGTGTGGACGGCAAGGCTGGGAAAAAGCTCAATACAGCCAACCTGCCCAGAACTCCATCGCCTGTCGTAGACCAATCAGCCTTCCTTGAGCAGGTAAGATCGGTACACTAGGTAGATACGAATCATACGAGGCACTAGACTGTAAGAGGGGTCGTTTGACTCAGTCCAACTGTGGGCCATTTTCTGGCACTGTCATTGGCGTGCACTACGGGTTGAAGGATTTGGAGATGACTTTCATTCGTTGCAGCTGGAGGGGCATCCTCTGTTTTCTGCGGCATACTGCACACACCCTGGCGCCTTCATCAGAAGACAGTGAAGTACAGCTGAGCTTCAGCAAAGAGTGCGGCTCAAACTTGCAGGCAGCGCAAGATGAGCTCGTAGAGATCTTTTCTTAGGCATGATTGAGGTACTGGAAATGGGAAAGAAATTTTGATGTTCTTCTCTTTTCTTGGCCTTCCAACACAGAGCATGCTTATCGAATTGTAACCAGCCCCGCGAATTCCAGCGCGGGACGAGACACATTGAGCTCTTGTGAGTGATACCTAATCCTCCCATTCTTAGCTTCTTCAGCTGGACTTCGGCGCGACCGCCGATGATCACGGTAGAACTCAGCCTCGGGCCAGTAACAAAGGAAAGCGGTTCGCTCGAGTCGCTTATGAGCTCTGAGTTTCTGACCGATCTTTCTTCTGTTTTCTCTTTCTCACATCTCTAATCTGCTTACTCTTCTTTCGCTGCTTTGTGGATCTTCACTCTTTCGACCCTTTTTGCCTATATTTCTACCTCATTGCTTCATTATTCCCTGTTCTGTTGCTATTCTATACCTTTTGAGCTTCTGGTTGTCCTGCGGTTATATTTGGGTTCTCGCATCTCCCTCGAAACCATGTCACTACAGGTCAATGACCCACGGTCGCGTGGCCGTTCCAAGTCTCCGAGCGGGCGAATCCGCGATCGTTCCAAATCTCGCGACAGCCGACTACCCTMTACCGCTCCCGACGCTGCGAGGTCATCGGAGAGAAAGTATCTCGTTACCGATGCGAGGGACGACCATCTACGGTCAAGATCCCGCGGCCCCCGCGACAGCAACACTTCAATCGCTAGTCATCGAAGCCATTCTCGATACGATGTCTCAGACTCGGCGTCAGAACGGGATGATCGCAAGGACCAATATCTGCGCAGCGAGCGACGCCGCGACCACTACTACCAATCGGACGCGGGGGAAAGCAAGTCTGCAAAGCGCGATGACAGAAGCGGCTATGCGCGCTCGCCGAACCTTCGACCAGTGAGGTACGACAGTCTCTCAGATGACTCTTACTCGGACACGGACGATGAGGCGCTGGCCTATGGCGATGCCCCTAGCGATCTGGAGCGTGATTTCTACGGATATAGAAAGCCAGCGCGTGCGCCCTCGCCTCATGTAGATGGTCCAGTTATGTCTGGGGCGCTCAATGGCGCTCCCCCTGTCAAGCAGGATTCGTCTCGTCCCCGTCATGCTTCAGATGAGGACATTCCCGGCCATCATCCCAGCTATGCAAGACCCGGACAGTTCCAGTATACCATGCCCTCACAGTATGGCCAATTCCAGCCTAGCTATCCTTCAACGTCATCTGCGCCGCAGTCGAATTGGGCCCCCATTCCAGAGTGCGAACGGCCGGGGTTCGTGCCGCCGTCGTCACAGGCCGAGACGCAATCGATCCCAGGAGCATTTCCGCAACCTGTGTCGACCTACCCTGAGATGACTGGTGCGCCTACTGCTCCCGTCTTTCCAATGCCCCAATATGCGAATATAGGGCAGCAGAATCCATACGCGCCTCCCAACGGTCGCCCGCTTTCCGTCTCCAATGCTTACACTCCGGCCGTCAGCTCTCCGACTCATCAGCGCGCTTTATCAGGCGATGCAAATACGCATCCAGCGTACGCTAATCCTGCACCTTATCAATACGCGCATATCGATCCAAATGTGAAATATGGCTCCAAGAATGGTGCAGTGCCGTACAAGTATTCTACGACACCCCAGTTCTCCAAGCCGAGTGCAGCGCCAACAGCTGAACCCCAACCTACTAGAGCCAAATACTCCGCAGTCCCACAATTTCAGAAGCCAGCCGCGACCACTCGTCAGGAGAATGAACAGCGATTTGTCGAGATAACGCCCGGGAATCGGACAACTGGCCGCTCTGCCAGTCATTCTGTCTCCTCTGCGAACAACCTTTCAGTCGCGGGGGCCGCTGACCCAGATTTTCGACCTGCAAGCCCCATGCTAGAGCCTTATAAGGGTACATATCAATCCATATCTCCTATGCCGTCCCCGATTGTGATTCCGTCCAAGTTCGACGACGACATCTCTGACTTCGAACCACTTGACGGAAGCTCAGACGCGGACGGGAGGAGGAAACACTCGCGAAAGAAGTCCAAGGATGAAAGGGATCGCAAAGAGCTGAAGCCCGAACGCGCTAAACGTGACAGCAGCCGGGTTCGTCATGGCCGACATGAATCTCAAGACCAGGCAGTGGTATTGATCTCACCCGGCAATGCCCGGAAGAAGGTCACATTTTATGACCCCGTTCCGGACGCAGTGACCATGCAGGAGGCTTTGTCGCACACCATCAATATTGATACCAAGGCTCTCATCCGTGTGCTCCCTCACCTATCCAGCGAGGAAATGCTAGACTTGCGCAAGGAATACAAGAGTCACGTGAAGCTACAGGGCAAAGGCATCAATATGGCCAAACATATCCGGCTGAAGCTGGGCAACAGTGCGTTTGGAAAAGTATGCTACGCAACCGCGCTGGGCCGCTGGGAGTCGGAAGCGTACTGGGCCAATTGCTACTATCAGTCTAGCACCTCGCGGCGAGAACTCCTCATCGAGTCTCTGATGGGGCGTAGCAACAGCGACATCCGTGAGATCAAGGAATGTTTCCGTGACTCAAGGTACTTGGACAGCCTGGAAAAGTGCATGAAGGCGGAACTCAAGGCGGACAAGTTTCGAGTTGCGGTGCTGCTTGCCCTCGAGGAAACACGGCAGAGCGAGCGTGAGCCCATCGATCCCGATCTGGTCCAGCGCGACGTTCGGGACTTGTACGGGGCGCTGATGTCACGGCACGGGGGCGAAACCGCAATGATCTACATTATTGTACGACGGAGCGACGCACACTTGCGGGAGGTGCTCCGCGCTTATGAGAAGATCTACAACCAGAACTTTGCCCGTGCGATGATTGCCAAGTCGCAGAATCTTGTGGTACGTATCTCCACTTTTAATTTTCCGAGTATTTCTCGTGATCTTCTTCTAACTGGATTGATGACAGGGTGAAACACTTGCGCATATTCTCAATGGGGCTATCAACCGACCTATGCGCGATGCTCTGCTGTTGCACCAAGCTCTCAGGGAGACTCGTTCGGGCAAGGAGCGGTCCGAACTTCTAATCTCCCGGTTGGTGCGCTTGCATTGGGAGCCACGGCACCTGGAACAGGTTAAGAACGAGTATCGTCGGCGTTATGGGGAGCGGCTTGAGGAGGCGATTGCCGAGGAGATTTTGCCGTCGCCCGGAGGAAGCGAATGGGGCGAGTTCTGTATTGAGTTGGCGCGCAGCTCGAAGACTCTTACCGGGCGGGGATGATGTTTCTATCATGCTTAACGATTTCGGGTTATGAGTTACGTGTCATGAGTTGCTTGGTTTTACGACAAGCGAATGGTGTTATATCCTCCTGACGGTGTTTTGATTATGGATCAAACAAAATGAACAGAGGAATCTCTTCCCCAGGGGTTGACGCATGCTTGACAGGGGCACACTAAGTACTGTGAACATCCTGAAAGCGAAGACTAACTAGGCCTAGAGGCTTAGTCAAACTAAGCGTTAAGCCTTAAAGTTAACTAGGAGGTCGGTTCCCAAATCCCATAGAGGGATTACCGCAGGCGAATTTTCGTCTTTCAAAAGGACAAGTGCTTGAAAGATTATTATCTAATATGCACAGATTAAGTCTGCAAGTTAAATAAGCACTCATTCCACTGATTCTTGATAGGTAGAGTCTCGCTCTCGTCCCAATAGCATAGCGCAGGCTCCATGATGAATGCAAGCGAGGTCTCTTGCGATGTGTGGTCAATCAGAAGAGAGAGATACCAGTAGTCCTGCACAGAGATTCCGACAGTAAGGCGATGTAAGTATTGAACTGAATTCTCAAGCCAGGAATCTGCGTGTTTGTGTTTTGACCAGGGTGGGTTTAGTGGTTGAGTTTTGAGATACATAAGGTGGTATTGACCGATAGTCTCCTTGGACAATGCAAGGGGTATTGGGGGCGAACAGAATCAGTCAGTACCTGCGTAGGACTGCTCCACGCTGCTGTGGAACCTCTCTTAGATCCAGACATCTACGTATTTATCATCTGCTCAGCTCTGAGGGTCCTTTTTCTCCGCAGTTACGGTACTTGACCGAGTAGTCGGCACTCGGCTAATTCCAGGTGAACAAAATGCGGGCAGTAGTCTTGTGAAAGTGGCAGAGGTTGAGGGCATCTGATCACTTCCGAGCAAGGGATCAATTAAAGTAGACTAAGAAAACTAGCAATGTAACGGTACTTAGGACTTGCGGTCTGGCGATCTTGCGGGACTACCCCACACTCCATATCAACTTTCTTGGGGGCTGACGGTTGGCTTGTGCCTTGTCCAAGATTTTTTTAACCTTGAGTGATGAGCCTCTTTTCCCGTGTTGAGTGGAGGCCATGGGAACCTGCAGCAGGAGAAATTACGGTCACGGCGAAACTGTGTCCATCAATCTGACCTGGCTCCCTATCACCGATGTTCCTGGCCTCTCACATGATGGTATCACAAATCTCGGTCACATTGGCAATTTGCTAGTTCGGAGATGATAACTCCTCTGCAAATGGCTTTAGATGGCGCAATCTATGCTTCGACGACTTCGAGTCGTCTGGTTTATCCGAGGAGAATGGCGGTGGTGGTGGATCTGAAGCGGTGTTGCATGTCACTTTCCCATTTGGGATTGTTGTGCAATTTCCCGTCTTGTCTTGTTGTCTTCGTCTCCAACATACTCTGCCGTCTTCCTCTTTCTCCTCATTTGTCTCCTCTTTTCTTGTATTTGCATTCTCTCACTAGTCACCATTAGCTCTTATATGACCAACTCCGACCAATGTCACTCTCTTGATTTGAACTATCCCTATCTCCATCCTGTGTTGACTGACACTGCCTGTCGTTACTCCTCCCATCCAAGTTGGTAAGCATCTTCTGACTTACGTTGGGCCATTTGGGCTCAATTGGACTCATACTTAGTACCGTTAGGCTTGCTACCCTATGCTCAGGTGGATCTCCTGAACAAGCACTAGGCTTAGTGCATGCACCTTTGGCTTCATCAGATTGCTATCAGCCTATAGACGGCCAATACTTCAGCAATCACACTGGCCGAGAACAGAGAGGGGAAACAGCGAGAGAGAAGTGAGAAGATTAATTATCTGCACATTGCATGGTAAACAGTCCGATCATCCCCCACATACTTGCCCCTCCCCCTGCCCTTGTTCCTTCATGCCCTTCCCTTGGCCCTATGCGTAGGAGGTCCATGTGTCTCTCCATGCGGACAATGACAGGTCAGACGACTTTTGGGAAGTTTTCTATCATGCGGTTTCCATTCCTCAGTTGCTTCTAGACCGTGGCTCGACTGACTGATCTCTAGTCACTTCTGAGTTTCTCCGTGTCAGGGTTGTTCCTTACGTCTGGTATGTCGATCTTGCCCAGCTATAAAACCGCCCCTAGAATTCCAGTAAACATTCTCAATTGGCAGTTTTGGCTTATCGGGGCAAAATCACTGATCTGTTGTTTAGCTTCCAGATCAGACTCTTCATAAAATCTTCCATGTGTCCTGTTTGATTGTCCGGTAAACATTATCACTATGCACCTGTTTCCTCTGGGCGTGTTAATCGCCTTCCTGGCTTCTCTAGCAGGAGCGGTGTCAACTTTTTCTCCTGCGCGACCTCCTGCACTGCCCTTGGCAGTAAAGTCTCCTTACTTGAGTACATGGCTTTCTGCAGGAAGTGATGGAGGTAACGGTGGCTATTTGGCCGGCGAATGGCCGACTTTTTGGGAGTAAGTATCGCTACTAAACATGTACGCAACTTTCTGACAAGAAACTACAGGGGCCAGATCAATGGCTGGGCTGGGCTAATCCGTGTCGATGGTGCTGTCTACACATGGATGGGTTTGCCTGGAACGACAACTGCCAACCAGACTGCATATGAGTACACCTCGACAAAGAGCATCTTCACATTCCATGTGGGAGATGCTGTGGAGATGAAAGTCACTTTTTTGTCTCCCATAACGCCGAATGATCTACGAAGGCAGTCATTGACATTCTCCTATGTTCACGTCGCGGTTTCGTCAATTGACGGCGACTCTCATAACGTACAGATCTACTCTGACATTTCTGCCGGTGAGTCTGAATTCAAAACCTGGATCTGCAAGTTTCCCTTGTCCTGATGAACGCTTAGAATGGGTGTCTGGAGACCGCACTGCTGTTGCGGAGTGGGATTATGGTGTCACACGCCACGGGGTTGCTTATCATAAGCTCTACCGTCAGACCCAACTGCTTTTCTCGGAAGTCAGAGATCAAGCGGAATGGGGTAACTGGTACTGGGCAACTGAGGATAGCGAGAAAGTGACGCACCAGTCGGGGGCTGATGTTGCTGTTCGGGGTGCATTCGCCGCTAATGGAACCTTGGGTGATTCGAAAGACTCAAACTATCGTGCAATCTCCACAAATTGGCCGGTTTTCGGGTTTGCAATTGACCTGGGATCGGTTACATCGTCCACAGTCGATACACACTTCACTATTGGGCTTGCCCAAACTGAAGCGATCCAATACAGCAGCCCCGATGGCCTTCGGGCAGAGCCCTCCTTGTGGACAAGCTATTTTAACGACGACTTGGCTGCTGTGAGTTCTCTTGCCATCTGATATATTCCTCTGCTGCTAATTGTCTAACCTTTGCTATGTTCTAGCTCGAGTTCTTCCATTACGACTATTCAACTGCGAACGAGCTCTCTTCGGCATTGGACGAGAAGATTGCGCGGGACTCCATAGCAGCAGCTGGTCAAGACTATTTGACTATCACCTCTCTCAGTGCTCGTCAAGCCTTTGCTGCAACCCAGTTGTGCGGCACGCCGCAAAATCCATATCTCTTTATGAAGGAGATATCTTCCGACGGCAATGTGAACACTGTGGACGTCATTTTCCCAGCTCATCCAGTATTCCTGTACACCAATCCAGAGCTGCTCGAGTTTATTCTGAAGCCCCTGCTTGAAATCCAGGAATCCCGGCAATACCCTAACGCTTATGCGATGCATGACGCTGGAAGCCATTATCCCAACGCTACTGGCCACCCTGAAGGCAATGATGAACCAATGCCGCTCGAAGAATGTGGAAATATGATAATCATGGCTCTGGCGTACGCACTCAAGGCATCCAACACGGATTATCTGAACGAACACTACGCATTGTTGGAGCAATGGACATCATACCTGGTCGACGAAGCTATCTACCCGGCGAATCAGATATCAACGGACGACTTTGCTGGCGCTTTGGCGTAAGTACTGACCCAGGATTGAACCATTGACGTGCTCTAAAATTCTTCTATAGCAACCAAACCAACCTGGCTCTGAAGGGGATTATTGGTATTGAGGCTATGGCGACCATTAGCAAACTCACCGACCACGTGGATGCAGCTACCAATCGTTCTGCTATAGCCCACGACTATATCGATAGGTGGCAAGTACTGGGTATTGCTCATGAGGCGGATCCTCCGCATACCACATTGTCTTACGGCTCAAATGATTCTCACGGTCAGTTTTAGTTTCTCTTCTTCCTTTCAGCGGTATTCGTAGCTGATCGATAACAGGTCTCCTGTACAACCTTTTCACCGACCGTGAGCTGGGCTTGAACCTGGTGCCCCAATCTGTTTATGATATGCAGAGCGAGTTCTACCCAACAGTGAAGGGGAAGTATGGTGTGCCGCTGGACACCCGACACCAGTACACTAAAGGTGAATTTCTGTCCTTTTGTATACCTTTGTTTACGCCTTCAGTGGGATTCTGCATGTAAGAGAATATTCAATGATCTGACATGAGCCTCGTAGGTGATTGGGAAATGTTCACAGCAGCGGTTGCCTCGACAAGTACGAGGGACATGTTCATTGAGTTGCTTGCGAATTGGATCAATCAAACGCCTACCAACCGCGCTCTTACTGACCTCTACGATACTGTTAGCGGAGAGTAAGTCTTCCTTGTTGATGTACTGATTGCGAGCGCTGCTGACATCTCAGTTACCCCGGAATCACCTTCATTGCGCGACCCGTGATGGGCGGTGCTTTCGCCTTACTACTTCTGGAGCAGGGTCTTTGATGAGCATCGATACCCCTAGATCGTCCTTGACATTTTGCTGGTCAGTTCGGCTGAGACACAAGCTAATTATTCTTCTGTATGAATTTTTTAATATGACTTGGATATGTCTATTATTATACCGCCTTTAGACCAAGTATATGTCGCCGAAGGCCGCTGCTTGACATTCAGCACAGCCAGGTTCAAGGCGCACGTACATAGTCTTTTATGCATGACCGTCACAAGATC